CAGAATTCCTCAAGCAGAATGGCTGGCTGGGGAATTCTGGGAGTTGAAGTCCACCCATCTTAAAGTTGCTGAGGTTGAGGAACCCTGATATAGAGGACAGAAAAGAAGTAAGAAATAGTAAGTGAAAGAAATTAAAAGCGTGAAATAGGGAAAAAAAGAAACCATAGCTAAAACTAGTTTACCTTTCACTGTATCATTTACCAACCTTTCTTGCTTCCCCTGTGTCCATACGTTGCTTCATGCTATGTCTTTTGCTCTTTAAAGTGGCCTCTTGTTCAAGGTCTCATCTGCTCCATCTCACCACAATTGTCTTGGTCTTTTTTCTTCCTCTCGACTCCATTTATTTATTATTTTGCAATTCAACCCTCATGTCTTTTTTCTATAAGACCAAATCACCTCGGCCAACTTCTTTGTTTCTTCTTCTTTTTTGCCTTAATTCAGTGTTTTTCAACCTTGGCAACTTTAAGATGTGTGGACTTCAGCTCCCAGAATTCCCCAGCCAGTAGTTGAAGTCCACACATCTTAAAGTTGCCAAGGTTGAAAAACACTGAATTAATTTATTTAATAGAACAGAACAAAGTAAAAAAATGGCAAAAGAAAAAAAAGGGGAGGGAAGCAATAAAACAGAAAAAATTTACATAGATAAGGGTTTTTCATATGTGTGTGCATAAAAATTTATACAACATTTTCAATAAAGGATGAAAATATTTTGCTGTAATCATCTAGACATGATTCACATTCATAAGCGATTCATTCATAAGTCATAAATAGCATAAATTCTTCAATGTACTGAGTAACTGAGGCCCAACATATTTTTTTCCCAATGTTGAAGGATTAGTCTCTTAGCTAATAGTAAGAATACTCCATACTCTTAAGGTATGGAGCATTCATTTCTTCTGTCCAGCCATCATTTCCCATGTAATAGGTTTGTAGTTCAAAGATCATGGACATCTGAAAATGTTAAATGCTGTCTCAAAGTCAAATTAATATATATAATTACTTCTTTCCAGAACATAATACCTTTAGGGCATCACAACTTTACATGAGTTATTCTCACTGAATCTGCAACAACATGAAGTTTTACTCATTCCTTTGCTATACCAACACAATGAGGTCCAATAAATCTGAATTTGTGTTGTTATTGTTGTCGATGAAGCTGTAATCTATGACCTAGTTACATTTTTGATATTAATGTTAAAACAGTTTCCTGTGGTCCCACAACAGAATGAAGATCTTCAATTCCTAATTCCATTTGAGCTTTAAAATATGCATCTTATATTGATTTATCAAGAACAGGTATTTATAAAGAATAATTATGGGCTTTTTTTTTCTTGTACTGTGTTGTGATCAGCCTACTTCTTTCATTCCGGTTAGTCGCATTCATTCAGCACTTATACATTCATAGGGTGCCTAACCAATGGTTAGGCCTAAATATGCACTGTGACATCACAATCCAGGCTCTGCCATTTTGTGCTTATGTTACAATGTTGCACAAATGTAATAAGGGCTCCAACTTGCATCACATTGTCACAATATGTGTTTTGTCAGTTGCCCCCTTGTGCAGAAGCCCATGAATAGATTGATGCTTAAACCATGTAAATGAAGTATTTTTCTAAGCAAATACTTCTCATCCACCTTTCTCATTCATTCTTTCATCTCCAAACAGCCCGATCACTTTTTCTATACTTTCTTTTGTTTCCATCCATCCATTCATATCACCAAGCTTAATAATTTTTCCCCTGAATCACATTCATTAAAAACATTGCAAGATCTACCCCACCCCTCCCAGTAATCTCTGGTGTTATTGTCATTACCCGGAGACGAATTTGCAACTATGGATTTCTACTTTCATATGCACTTATAATAATCTAGATGACACCAATTCATACTATCTGATAAACATTCTAGCCCTTTAATTCATAATGAAACCTACAGCTTTACTTCCCTGCATGTTTTCATCTCCATTCCACAAAATCTGATCTATACTTTCTCAGTTATAGTTGTAGCACATGCAGTATTCCACAGTCATAGCAAGGACGATGGCTATTAATTTTGGCATATTTTGGGCAGTATGCCTCAAGTGCAACCATAGCACAGAACATAGGCATCTTTTACAAACCACAATGACAACAAAATGATGATGTGTTTCTTAACATCATAACACAAATGATGCAATGATATACTGTATCACAACACCTAATGCAGGTATGTCATGACACCCGTGCCAGTATTTGCCGGTGCCACCTCTGTTTTACCACAAGCATGTTCACACTATACAAAGTTAGGAGCACTAATCTAGCGACTATCTTACAGGTCAATATTTTGTTGCCTGCATCCAACCAACTGGAAGGTATAATGCAATGTTTCATTGCATTAAATTATGGGGCAGAGAAAATTGCTTTATATTAGTGCAGTCTATCTGTCTATCTACCTAATGTTGTCTAGTTGAACTGGCAGTGGTTCTCTAGGAATTCAGCCGGAGAAAGGCCTTATCATTTACTGCTTGTTCTTTTAATTAGACATTTTGTGGACTGAATTCAGTGCCTTCTCCTTAAAAAAGGGTTCTGCTACTGAGTTATTATTTTTTTCTCTAAAAAGACATGACAATGTTTAGATTGGATATATTAGGACTTAAAAGAGGCATTATTTATTTTAAAGTAAATAACATGGATGTGGACTAAAGCTGCACAGACAGGGTTAAGAGGCCTGCAAGACTTAAAGGTGATAGACTTGGCTTAGCAGTCAGCAATTAGAAGCCCCTTCTCTAGGGTTTCAGCCCTAGGCTTACCAGGCAACCAGAAAAGGGTTTTGAAATAGAATTAGCACATGGTGAACCAAGAAGACTAAAAACCTCTTCATATTCAGTTCTTCAGTTTTACTTAACCGTATGCTGGCAGACCCTTTCTAAAAACAGGAATAGTAAACTGTTTTGATTTGAGACGTTTCTTACATCTGAAAAGCAGTCACATATGATCCCACTGTCCCATCTCCCACATGTTGTTCAAACCTAAAATGGCCATAAACCTTGTTCACTGTAAACTGAATGTTGTGACTTACAACAATGTACAGCATCTGGGGTGGTAACATAGCACTTACAAATCAAACCAATTTACCAACCAGTTTCTAGCTGAGCATATCAAGAAAAAACATTTCATGGAAGAACTGAGAAGCCACACACCATTATTTTTTACAATAAAAGGCATGTGACTGCTTTGGCTGCTTTGAAAAGCTACTTGAACTTTTGGATTTTAAAAGTCTTCCTGATTATCTGGAGGATGGGAATAGAGTTCCTATTTTATATCATAAGGAACTAACTAAAGGTCAGGGAGAAAACTCAGGATAGGTGAAACCTCCTTAATTTATTCACCAATTTCAAATATTATGGACTAATTGGATAGCTCTCCTACTTTATGGGGCTGGGGCAGTAAGACCCCATTACCCTATTCTACTGCATCCCTGCAACAAACTTCTTGCCAAATTCTAGATCAGCTAAAGAACTCAAGGGTTTCCGATGCAGCTGCCCATTGAGAAATTCTGGCTGTAATGTGTGAGGTGTCCAGCTCCCTTTGCAAGATCTCAGTCCCCAGATGTAAGTTTTGCTGCTATTATGGGATGGAAACAAAAGCAGCCATTTCCTGGGCCTCTCCCTGCTGTACAGATCAGAGATCATAAATTTAGATTGGCCTCTGACTCTTTGTCAGAACACGAGAATATTTGCTGATTACTACTGGACTGCTTCCTAACCGGGCTTTATTGCTTTAGCTATTAACTTTTTTCTCCTTCCCTCCTTGCTATGTTAAATGCCACCTCTGGCCCACTTCTTCCTCTGCAACATTCTGAAACACTAAGATTTGGTCTATGGATTAGTTGAACTTTGCCTTTAAAGGACCTAATGGCAGTTAGCTAAATTTCCACTGCAGTGACACAGCTTCCTGTCTGACAGGTGAAGTTCAGAGGGAGTCCAAACTCTGTTCAGATTTCAGAAGTAAAGCCTAAAAGTGGGGGATGACTAAGAAAAGCCATTATTTTGGAGGAGGAGTCCCACCTTGAAACTTGAGATAAATTTCTCATGAGCTGCACAAAACTGATTGTCTTTAGCCCCAGTATTGTTACATGGCTTTGTAAAGTGTCACGCACCCAGTATATGAAAAATATCTGATCCCAGCAATTACAAATGTAATACAAGTTGAAAATATATAATGTCTTATTTTTCTCTTAAACTAGGAGGAAGGCGTCACCTGGTTCATGCTAGCCAGGATATATGGCCTTTCAAAAGGACTGTGGAGTGTGGATCTGCTGTTAGGCGCTTAAAGATGAATTCCAGCAGCTGCAGTAACTGTGCAAGGGGACATGATCTGGCCTTTGCCAGTAGCTACTCACTGATCTTTATGATTGGCCTCCCACTGAACTCTGCAGCTCTGTACTTTTTTATCTTTGGAGATGTTGTCCGCTCCATCACCACAATCTACATGAAGAATCTAGTGGTCTGCGATCTTCTGCTGTTGGCATCACTGCCGCTGAGGATATACTACTATGGCTGGCAACCCCAGCTGTCTCAAACCACATGTGAAATGGCAGGGCTGTTGCTCTTGGTTAACATGTATGGCAGCATCTTTCTTCTGATTTCCATCAGTTCAGACCGTTGGATGGCCGTGTGCTTTCCGCTCAGCTCCTGGGCCCAGGCCATACGCCGACGAGCCAAGTACATCTGTGTGAGCATATGGACTTTGAGCATTGGGGGAACCATCCCCACATACTTTGTTGGCAAGAATGCTATGAAAAATAGCACTCAGTGCTTCGATGGACATCCTCAATATATCGCAAATGTTAGTATTTCCAGTGCTATAGTGCTGTGCTATGCCATTGCACTGGTTGTCATGGTAACCTCCTCCTTTGGTCTGCTGCATGTTTTTCACCGGAGCGCAAGTGTTGAGATGGAGCTGATCAATATATCCAAGATCAGGTTTATGGTAGTGATGAATGTGGCCATTTTTCTGGGCTGCTTCTTGCCCTACCATTTGACAGTACTTGGCTATCATGTACCAGGGTTGAACAAAAAGTATTTAGATCAGGTGTACAAATATGTCCTGCTCCTATCCTGTGTGAATGCTGCTCTAGATCCTCTGGCCTATTATTTTATCACTGAGACCTTCCAACATCTAATGCCCCTACAGCCCTTCCTTAGGAGCCGGATTTCACACAGTGACTACATGGAAGGAATAATGCTGTCTGGCCAGCCCTTGAGAGCAGAGCCTCCCCCTGCTTTTGGCATTCCTCCATCTTGAACAAGGAAGAGGCCACTGGATCAGGGCAGCTTTTACCACACAAGCATTTGCCATTTTACATGTGGTCTGGTGTAATTGCATTGCTAAAATAAGAAAGGCATTCATGCCAGTAAAACATTCAGAGTCAGAAACAGGTCTGGGTAGACTGGGGAAGTTTGCTGACTATTTCCTTGGGAAATTACAAACTCCCCAGCTCTAACTGGGGAGTCTACTGGAGTTGGGCGGCCAATAAATGTAAATAAAACCAACGAACTTGGCAGAGCTTCCTAGACCCTTGACTATAACATAACTAGATAAGAATCCTTTATTGCATACTTGAATGAAGCCACTTCAAATAATTGATTGTCCTTAGTGCGTGGTGTTCAGATCTGAAGCAAGAAAAAGTGTACTAAATCTTCACGGGCATCCTTTCTATACCAACTGGCTGATCCTTAAACAACCCTGCCTTTCCCAAGGCTTACACACTAGCAGAAAGGGCTCAGGGAAATATGTGTTTGAGTTAAAGAAGCATTAAGGAGATGGTAATATGGTGTAACATTTTGCCTTAACTCAAATGATCATTTTCTTCCATGCAAGTTTTGGAAAAGGCATGGCTCCTTTAAGGAGCAGCCAACAGATGAAAAGTGAGTGCCCTTGCCAAATCCAAATATGACAGTACAGTTTCCTTTTAGGTCCAACACAGTTTAAACCCAGCACTACTTTTTCCACTTTTCCATGGTTTAATCGGACACTTTATTTTGCTTTTCTCAGGCTTGGTGCTAGATGACAGATAATTGACATAATGGGCATTGCTGTTCAAGGAAGCTGTAGCTCTCGATGTAATTTTATAGGACATATTTATAAGAGGAGGAGGACTCTGCACATAAAAGGTACAGCCCGTTTTTCTGGCCAGTATCTGAGATACCCACAGACATTCTTGGTTTAGATATCTGATTTGTTTCCCACTATCTGGCTGAATCATAGCTCAGCATCTCTCACAGAGATTTCCAGAGGTTAGTCTTCTGGCACTAATACAATTCCCCAAAAAGAGAACATTTGTAGAGGATAAAGTAAACTGTCTATTCAGCAAATAACTGCCTACCTCTGATGCTTGGAAGATTGACTATGTTACAGATATGGAAGATGAAATTACCAGAAAGACTCTCATTTCAGTTTAAGGCATTGTAAATGGGATTCAGCACCAGTACATGTTTTGACTGAAGTCACTGGAATAATAAAAACCTTAAGCATATATCGATTCTCTTTTATTATACACTTGAGATATGAAGCTGGATGTCAGATTTCGGGGTAAGGTCCGGGGCACACAATGGTTCCAAAATCTTTTTCTAAAAATGAATTGGGGAAGGAGAGAAAGGCTGGAGCTTCTAAATCAGGGATAGACAATCTTTTTGGGCTAAGGGTGAAGTTCTGAGGGCATACAGTGGGCACACTCGAGAGACTTTTCCATGTGCAAAATTGGCTGCTGTAATGGGTATAGTTTGTAAAAACCCCATATACCAAAAGCCAAACGAACACTACAGGGTGCTTTCTAGCATCATAATGGAACCCACTGTTGCCAAAGACCTGCACGAATATGTTCAGGTAAGTCATCAGGCATTGAACTTGACTTGAAGGACAGTTTTTTACACGTCATTATGCATTCATGCATATGCGTGCACAAAGGCAGACATGGAGTGAAGCAGTGATTCCCAATTACGGCCACAGTAGCGCTGGCTGTATGTTTGAATATTCAGAAAGTGGCAGCAACTGGCTGGTCTTGTCTGAGGTGGGAAGTGAAACAGGGCCAGGCCTGGTTAGTACATGGATGGGAGATCACCAGGGAATTCTAGGGCTGTAATTATGCACTGGAAGTTGGAAAACCATCTCAGCAAATGGCAATAGAAAAGCAATTCCATATTTTTACTCAGGAAACTATATAGGCACCAGGGCTTGAGCTTAACACAAAAGAGACTTGACTTCTTTTAATATGGTCACTGATGTTCTTTCCCTTTTCTCCATACAGGGCAAACAAAACTGCACATATGAGCAAAAAGGAGTTTTGCAGAAGCTCAGACAATGTTTGTATTTGTACAGTGGCTTAATCAGCTCTGTTAAAGACCTTGAGGCTACATTTGCACAACATTGCTAAGTTTGGCTACTGTGAAACCATTAATTTTTCATGGTATGGAAACCCAGCCCATGTGGTTAGTTTATAGTTTAGTGTATGATGCAAATCCAGAAAAGAGTCAGTTCAGTAACCAGGAACTTGTGTGAACCTAGCCTGAATAAGTTTTTCTCCTTTCCCTTAAAACAGTGTTGTCCAAACTTGGCCACTTTAAGATGAGTGGACTTCAACTCCCAGAATTCTCCAGCCAGCAATTCTGGGAGTTGAAGTCCACTCATCTTAAAGTGGCCAAGTTTGGACAACACTGCCTTAAAAGTATTCTGTAATTACTCTAAGGTGTTTTGAAACAGGTTAAAATAATGAATGCATTCACTCCAGCCAGATCACAGCTTTGCTTTATTATTCTCTGTCCCCTCAGTGTGACATTACCTGAAGCAGTTTCTAGTTTCCACAGTAAAAGCACTGCTATGTGAGTATTTCCATTCATATCTTTCAAAGATATATTTAGTGCAAATAGAAGAAAATAGGCTGGTATCAAACACTAGCTGTGTTTGGCCTCTTCCCTCCTATGCCTCCCCTCTCTGTGTTGAACCAAAGGAAAATGAGATTACAGACTGGAGCTTACTGATTTTCCTCTTTTTCTCATTAGAACTAGGTTCTCTGTTCCAGATTATTTCATGGTGGGCAGAGATTTGCTGGACTGTGACAAGCAGTGTAGATCAGGGTTCCTCAACCTTGGTGACTTGAAGATGTATGGACCAACGCCCAGAATTCCCCAGCCAGCATATACATTAAGCTCTTGCTTCTATCTCAATAATGCCATGGGGGAACTTGGTTCTTCCTCTGTCTCATCTGGTAGTTCCTGGCCCAACTCCCCCTCTGACTGGAGTTGGGACTTAGAAAGAAAGCCACACAGAGGGAGAGAGAAGAATGCCATGCTGGGGTCTAAGCGTCCTCATTTTGCATCTCCAATCTTTATGCAGTTCCCACCACAATCCTGCACCAACTCCCAAGCACTAGGACCCAACAGCCGATAGTTTCTGCTACGATAGGTGCTCACATTGTAGAGACGGCTGGTACGGGTATCTTCATAAATTTGTTGGACAACAGGTGGCACAGGTGGGAATCCAGCAAGCTGAGCTAGGTTGTCCATATAGCTCCACTGTTGGATCCTCACCTTCAGGAAGTACCGGGCCAATCCTCCATTCTTCAAATGTTGTTGCAGCTGTCTTTCGACCTCAGACTCCATGTCAGCCACAGAAGGGAGGGGACAGCGCCCACTTAGCACAGCCAGTGCAAACAGCACCTGGCAGTGGAAGTGTGGGAAAGGACAAATCTGCTGACAAAGGCCAATCAAGAACAGCGAAGGGTGGCGGGGGGGCACTAAATACTGGTACAGGGGGCCCACCCCATAATCTGTCTCTTGTAAGCCCAACTGGGCCAAGTCCAAGAAGGGGAAGCTGTATTTGTAGCCTGTACAGAGAATCAAGACATCAGCTGGCATCTTGGAGCCATCTGTGAACACCACTGTCTTTTGTCCCACTTTCAGAAGTGGGGGCAGCTGTATCACATTCTTGGGCAGCCCACACACAGGTTGGCCTTTATGGCTGAGCACTACTTGAGCAGCTACAGGGGAGAGTTGCAAGGCCAAGTCAACTCCTGATGGACCAGCACCCACCAGCACCACAGACTGATTGGCAAATGGCTCTGGGCAGCGGTAGGAGTGGCTGTGTAGAAGACGGCCTGGGGAGAGAGGAAAAAAAATGTTGGCGAGAGGGAGGGCAAGTAATAGCTTCCACCTCACCCCAGGCATTCCTGGATAGGGTACAACACATATCCATCATATATGCCTATTGCTCTGTCTCCTTGTAATGGTATGTGGGAATGACCCTGGGAAACAGGAGGAAGAGCCACAGACTAGACAACTGTCATGCAAAAGGTGTCTCAGCCCACAGAAGGAAAAGGGGCATGGGAAGCATCTCAGAAGGGACCCTCCCTAGTTTTCTGGAAAGTAAAAGCAAAGGAGGGGAGAGGGGCTTTCAGACTTCTGAAGCATAGTAAGATTCTATTACTGCAACTTTACAATAAAGGTAGCGTTAGTACTTGTGCTTCTTGTCTGGACTTCTCCGAAAGGCTGACACTCCTCTACTTTCCTCTTGCCAAGACCTCTTTGCCCATTTGTCATACCTGCTGGTGCCAGGCACCAGGTAGTGGTGAAGGTGACTTTGCTCATTTGATCTCTCCAGGACAGGAGGGCAGAAACTGGAAAACTGGAAACCAACATTGCTGCAATCCCCCAAAATACAGAGGGTCTGATTGCGTTCACAAGACATGCTTAACTTGTACTGAATTAACCCTTTCTCTGGGTCTCCCCAATACATTGGAACTATAAAGTCACCAAATAAGCTGGGTTTGCACACAATGCCAAGCCACATAAGCCTAACTAAGGTTAGCAGTAATTAAACCTTGGATTTGACTCAGCTGGGCATATGAGATATAGATTATGGGTTGTGCCATAGTATTTGCTACATCTTTGCCTGACCTTGTTAAATGTGTTGTATCAATGCAGCCCCCAAATTCCTTTCTAACTTCTTCCCCTTCTTATGACATCCTACAGATGCTTGAGCACTCTGACTCAATGGGAACTGTCTTCTCTTGGAGTATTCCTCCTGGCCTATTCCCAGAAACAAAAATAGGGTCTGTGTGCTTTCTCTGGAGCATTGTCTTCCATTTTTGGAAGCTAAATGGCCTTCATTTAATGAAGTTACCTCCTCTTTGTTCTTGTTTTTGGAGTCCAGGCCTGGTAAAATGCCTGCAGTGCTTCCAGGAGGCACTGGGATACAAGAGGAGTGATTTAGCAAAGGGGTATTGCTTGCTCTTAAAATTTAAGGGGAAGGAGATAGTTTGTTTCTTGACTTACTCTTTTATAAATGAGCTATTCAACCATGTAACAACTCTGGGCCCTGAAGCAGAAACTTTGCATTCTCTCCATTCCCTCAGACAGAGCAGATTATGGTAACAATTTATAAAACAGTATTATGTAGTATTATAGGCATGCAGTAAAAAGTTTAAAACGATGCACAAAAGTTACCGGTAAGTAACTAGGTGTCAAAGTAAGTAATAAGGGTGTTGTTTTTTAAAACGGTTGTCTCATGTAACTCTGCACTGCAACAAACAACAGCCAAACTGATCAGAAAAAAGAAAATCCATATTCAAAGCATGAACGTGCAAGGCAGAACTAAGTTCATGGAATTGGCTGCTTACGACGTAAGGGCGGCCACTGGCTTTACATAAGATCAGGCACATCCATGACAGATATATTCATTACTGACTATTAGGCACTGGGCTGTGCTAGTAGCAAGTTAAGTAGTAGTACTTACTTAACTTGTAAGTAAGTAAGTAAGTAAGTGAATAGTTTATTGAATAAGTCTCCAGACTATTTCAAGTATTGGTTGGACAATGGAGAAAGTAAGATGCTGGACCTGATGATTTTAGCCTCATCCAGCCAAGGGTGATCCACCCTTGTCTTTTAAAGAGTAAGGAAGATTTAAAGCTTACCTTGGAAAGTGTCCAGTCCAGGAATGGGAGGTATAAACGGGACGGTGTAATGGCTGCAGAAACAAGGCTATTAGGATGGAGGTTGGAGAACAGGGACATGCCAAGCATCAGAGCCTCTTCCCCTTTTCTTATTTGATTCACAAAAGCATCAAGCAACTTGCCTAGTCTTCCATTCATTCTAACATGATTTGGCAGGAATCACTGGGAGGACGGTCATTTACACCCTCCAATCTCACTTTCTTTGAACCTTGACCATCCTCGTAAGGCAAAAACAGCAGCAGCAAAAACTTCACATGCTAAACTTGGAAACAATTAATGTATTGCTCCTTCTCTTCTTATCAAAACTGCTAGCTCTGCCCCATCCCAGGTCAACTAGGACTCACCCGGTGCAGACCATGATGGCATCAAAGTGCTCCGTGACTTGCTGGATTGACTCTGGGTGCTGCAGTGTAGCTGTGACAAACCAGCCACCTAGGCTGCCCTCATCCCTCTGGATAGGCCTGATGTCCTCCACTTGCCATTGGAACTTGTGGAGAAAAAGGGAAGAGAACAGGTGAGTTCCAGGAACCAACTAGTTCTAAATCTGTGAGGCTGACTATGATTATTCTGCAGGAAAATTAATTGGTATAGTGGTTAAGGTGCTGGGCTAGAGACCAGGAGACTGTGAGTTCTAGGCCTCCCTTAGACACGAAAGCCGGCTGGGTGACTTTGGGCCATTTACTCTCTCAGAGCCCACCTCAAAGAGTTGTTGTGGGGAAAATAGGAAGCAGGAGTATTACATATGTTTGCTGCCTTGAGTTGACCATACCTATCCATCCATCCATCCATCCAAAATATATTAATAATAATATGCACAGATGCAGCCTTTACGTTGTAAGACCTAGACACAAGCCTTGGCATCTTATTGTGCTCCCCCCTCCCCCTCAAGGATGAATGTGCCTCTATTTGACCTGCCACTCCCTGCTTCTAAGAGCCCATCATCTCTCACCCTGATATGGTCACAGACGCCAAACTGCTCTGCATAGCTATCCAGGTAGGCCAGAACTTCCAAGTGGTGCAGGAATGAAGGCAGCGATGGGTCAAAGGGGAAATCTGGAAAGGCCATCGCTTCCTTGGGCAGGTTGGTCCTAGGAGCAGAAGCAGCATAAAACACCCTTTCTGCACTGCACTGCCCTTCACTCCCCTGCCCAAATTCCTTCCTTTTTGCATTTAAAGAACAGCTGCCTGAGGCCTCTTCCTAGCCTGAGAAGAACCCTGCCTGGCATGCTGGGAGAGACTGGCATGCAAGAGCCCATCCAGAAGCACAGAGAGACTGCCACACCTAAGGTCACGGTACATGCTGGAGTGGATGGTCCTTCCCATGGCATCTTCTTTCTCATTCTTCTCTGTGTAAACCCAGGTGCCTCCCAAGCGGTCCGAGGCCTCAAACACCACTGGTGGAGCAAAAGTCTCAGGAGAGGCAAGGATGTGCCGGGCAGCACACAGTCCTGCAGCTCCTGCCCCAATTACCGCCACACGCAGCTTTGTTGATGCCATTTTGCAGAAGGGCCTGGCAGGGAACAAGGAGGAGATACACACAATGAGCATTGCAAATGAGCACTGCAGTGGTGCTGTTTCAAGAAGCCTGAGCAGACAGATATCCCTGGGGCTCCAGGGGACAACACAGAACAGTCACCACACCCAAAGTCCATAAGATCATAATTGGAATAACCGGTTGTGGCAACACTTGGGGCTTTATAGAACATTTTGTTACAGGCTGAGGGGAGGGGAGAAGTAAACAGATGGGACATTTGTGAGTGTAGAACAGAAAGAGGTCATATTCCTAGAAAGAGACAAGATCCCAAATCATGGAGCCTCAGGCACAGCTATGCTCCTTTTGCCGAGCCAACAACCATCTTGCATTATCTGAACATACGATATATGGGGTCCAGAAGTCTGCTTGGTTGCATTTAACTGGAAATGTGAGATTAACAAACTCAAAATTCTCTGTCAGGTACAAGTGATCAAAACTAAGAAAAAAGAAAAGTCTGTTTTGTAACAGGCTTTGGGATTTTCTGCAAACAAATAAACAAAGTTAATCTAGACTAGAAGCAGCATGTCTGGGAATGAGTACTGACATTTAATCCCAGGAAGGCACACAAAAAAGCAAGAGTGCCCAGAATCTCTCCAACAGCTCCATCGCTAGGGCCGATGCTAAGCAGATGAACAGAAAAAAGTATGTCAAAAATGCTCCAGAGCTTCACACTTGAAAATATATTTGCTGCATAAGCATAGAGCTTAAACAGTGTCTCCTCCAACAGGTCATTCTGTTTAGGTTGTACGAATAAGAGCTGCATGAAATCCCCTCCACGCAACATTACCACTGCCCTTTGTTCCTTGTTTCTGAAAGAGACAAGCCAACATATTGATGATTAATTGGTTAGCTTGTGGATTAACTGGATATGCCTAGTCATGCTTGCTTTCCTCTTTGACTTTGTTCCTTCCACCAATAAAACTGCAAGAGAAAAACTGGAACAAGACCATAGGACAATACATTGAAAAAAGAAAAAAAGAAGAAAAGGGGAATAAATTATCCTCTGGAAGCAATTTTCAGTTGCAGCGTAAGATTGTAGTACTCCCCTATTCCAAGTATTGATTTTTAGTCTCCTGTAGGCAGGAAGAGAGAAATCAAATACTGTAGGCCCGTATCTCGATATTCCTGGACATAACCAATTCTTTACTGCCTAGGCTGAGCCTAGAGACCCTCATCCACTGAGGTGGCATGGCATTCTCCCACTTGGCTTAACCTTACCTCTCACTCCCTGCTGAAGCAAAGCTTGAGTTACATGCCAGCACGAAGGCTGTCCATATTCAGCTCCTTTTCCCTGTAAGCTTGACCAGGACTCATTGAAGTGACCAGTGCAATAAATAATCTCTGGCTGAGTTTGCACAACACTCTTGATTAGGTCAGTTCAAGACCTTACAGTTGCAATCACGCAACAGGCTAAGCTTGATTAGGGTTAATTTTGATTAGCTGTTATGGTGGCTCAGTCTGTTATGCAAACTCAGTCTATTTGGTTACTTTATGATTCAACACGTAAACTCAGAAAATGAGTTAATTCAGTAGATAAATTAAGCACACTATATAAGCCCAGCTGTGATGACACACGACTGACATTGCCAGTTTGGACTTTGAGAATGCCTGACAATTAGGGCTTCCCTAATCTTAGTTTATCAGCTTCTTCGTGCCTGGAACAGCTCTTCGCAGGCTCAGGACTACTTTCTTTTTAATCAAAGGGGCAAATCGACTGGTTGGGCTGAGAAAGCATACCCTTGGCGTTTGGCAGCTGGAGTCCAGCAGCAATAGCCTCAAAGCGAAGGAGCTTCTTTTTAAGAACAGATGCACAGCTGGGGGGGCACCAGAGTGTTCCCCAGTAACTGGTTCCGAGAGCTCTACAGCCAATGCCTACAACCCCTTCTGAATGATACAGCTCGAGAAACTGCCCATCTGACCAAATTCTAGTCTATGTCAGTGTTTCTCAACCTTGGCAGCTTTAAGATGTGTGGACCTCAACTCCCAGAATTCCCCAGCCAGCCACGAAGTCCACACATCTTAAAGCCACCAAGGCTGAGGAACACTGCTCTATGTGCTGTACGAATTACTTCCTTTGAAAGGTCCCGTGTCCCCAATCTCCCACCAGTCTGATTCTAGGGGAATGAGTGAGTGCCTGTGAAACCTTGTCCTGCTCCAACATCTTGAGTGGGTTCCCACAAACACTTGGCTAAAATGGTTAGCGTGGTTCAGCTTGGTGCATTATGTGATTCACGTCATCACACGAAAACATAATGTAGCTCACTGTTTTGGACAGACCATGTGCAGTGGACACAGCAACTGTGCTTATTAACCCAGGTTTAGGATGCTGTGTGAAGCCAGCCTTGAAGTCAGACACAAGGGACCCTACGCCTGGCTGTGAACTGATCTGAGCTGCTGCCAGCGGTGACAGAACCATTCCTCCCATTTGTGACTCTGCTGCCAGCGGTTCTCCGGCACTCGTCCTTCTAACATGTTGTCAAGGCAGGGAAGGACACCCCAGCAATGGCAGCAGGACAGCGTGGAGGACACCCCAGGAATTAGTGGCCCAGCCGAGCTTTTTGCAAAGTTCCGGGTTTGCTCGCGTCGCAAAGCTTCCCTCGGCCCGCCCATGAGTGTCTCAGGGCTGAGAATGACACTCCGACCGGTGTGGCGGCGAGCTGGGCTAACATTTGTCCCACCACCTCCCCGACTGATTAATTAGGGTCCTCCTCCTGACCTGGGAACTTTTCGTTGCCTGCAATGGATGGCGCGGCGGGTCCCGCTCTGCTTGCGTGTACGCGCGATTCTTCAGCCGCCGACCCCAAAGCGGAAACACTCACCGCTCGTACTCCGGTCACAGCAGCTCCAATCTCCGTCCGTCCGTCCCCGGTCGACGGGGCACAGTCCAACGGGGGCAGACCCTTCGCTTCCCCGTAGCAGAAGGGAGGAGGCGGGGCACGAGCAGCAACTCTCGGCTCCTCCTGGCTGCCTTGGGTCTCTATCCACGCTCTGCCAGGGCGGGAGGGAAAGGGAGCGCGGCCAATTATAGGCCAAGGCCAACGGCAGCGCTGCCCCTCTCCCCGAGGACCACCCTCCGCCCTTTCAAAGCCAGCCCCTTGGCACAGGGAGGTGGAACGGCTGACAGACCGTGAACGCGGCTGAGGATCCCCGGGGTTATCTCCTCCCCCGTCGGCCGCTAGGAAGAAATTGTTTACTGCGGGGGGCAAAGGCATTCTTCTCCCCCCCCC